ATTAATAATGGAGTGAAGGAGCGGAATCAGAAGAGGGTGTCATTCAGTGGAGAGGGGTTCATGTGAAATTGTACAAATGTGGCTTTCATGCTCTTTGTGTGTGTGTGTGTGTGTGTGTGTGTGTGTGTGTGTGTGTGTGTGTGTGTGTGTGTGTGTGTGTGTGTGTACTAATGTATTAGTGCAAGCATCTGTGTCAAGGATGCTGTGTACAAACAGACAGGTTTGGCTTGATGGATTTTTATTGATTTTCTCTCCTTGTACAAAGAGCTGCAGGGCTTACAGAGCGTGGAGGAAAAAGGGAAAAGAAACGTCTTTGAGAGACATAAGAAATGAAAGAAGCTCAAACAAACAGCAAGACAATGCAGAGATCCTTGTCAAGCCATCAATTCATGAATATGTCCATCTCTTCTAACATGCATCTATCATGACTGTCATTATAACAAAAACAATCTGTATATGATCAAGTTTGAAAAACCTTTAACATGTAGTGAAGGCTTATATATTTATTTTAAATACAAATAAAATGTAGGAATGTGAATGTATTTTTCACTTTTTATTTAAAAACATGTTATTCTTTTATTCTAGTACAGAGTACAATAACAAGATGCTGCAAAGTCTTGTTATGCTCTGAAATGAAGGAGTAATAAAAGTTGCCTCAGTAGAGTGCAGCAGTGTGAAGGTCACAGTCTGCTCCTTCCCCCGGCTGTTTGTAGGTCAGTCGGCCATGCTGTCTGCTCCGTCACAGTGCAGTGTGGCTGCAGACCCCCGCTGCCTCCCCACTTTAAACCAGCCCGCAGTGACTCGCCAGTGCGGCGTTGACTTATTTACTGCAGTGGATGTGAAGGGGACGTTCCCCTGCAGAGCGTCTGTTGTATTCAGACACGCTTTGGTAGTGACCTCCACCGCCATCACAGCGTGACATGAGGGGATTAGAAATAAGGAAGGATTTTTAGTTCAGTCGGCTCAGGAGTGTGTGATTCGAGCGCCATCTTGTGGCGTCTGACACAAATCCATCTTCTGTTGGACCACAGGTTCTGTTTGAGCTTTACAGTTCAG